TTGCCCTGCAGGGCAGGAAGAACTGCATGCAGAAGACTTCTACTCATGGTCGCACTCCTTGCACCTCAGACTGTCTCACTTCCACCTGGTGCTTTTGGTGCTTTTACGTTTTCATTCTTTTGTCTCAATAAATTCTCCAGCATCCCAGCCTGAGTCTCCTCAGAATCATTTTCAACAGCACAAACCTCTCCAGAGAAGGTGCTTTCATCCCTTTTCATGAACAGGGCAGCTGGAGCTGCATTCGTGGCTCCATGGCCAGTTGGTGTTTCAGTAGCTCCCAGCACAGAGACTCCATCACCTCTTCTACTCTTTGTCTTTCTAAACAGGCAAAAAGGCTTGCCTGTTTTGCCCATGCAATTCCAGGGCCTCTTCTGCACGTGCACGCCAGTGACAAGTGCTGGATTCCGACCACTTATTTCCCTGCCATCAGGGGTTTATTCACATTGAAGCTGGGCCCCCTCCACATCCTTCTATCTTGGGTGGCTCACTTCTCACCCTCTTCTCTACAAAACATGATCCAGTCCCTCCAGTCTCTTGGTTACCCTGCACTGCTCTTGCTCCTTAAAGTCCAAGTCCTTCCTCACTGGGGAGCCAAGAAATGAATCCCACATGGGATTCTCCTCATAAGTTCTGAGAAGAAAGGGATGGTCCCCTCCCCATCCCCAGTGCAACACCGGTCAGTGCAACCCTGGAGACTGATGGGCCCGTTTCTTAGAATGGTAGGTTGCCACCTCATGGTCCATTTTTTCTCCACTAGGACCACAAGGTCCTTCTCTGCTAAGATGGTTTCTATCCCATTGGTCCACCAGATATTCCTGCTACACCGGGTCACTTCTCCCCAGAAACAAGACTTTGCATCTGCCCTGGCTGAACTCTTGTCCTTCACAACATCCTCCTGGACAAGTTGGTCAAATGTGACATGAGCAGGTACACCATACATTGCATAAAGAACTGCTGAAGAGCAGCGCTGAAAATGTCAGTGAATGGGGCTAGATGTGCTTTGTGAATGGTCACCTGCAATATTCCTCAGGGCTCCATTCTAGGGCCATTTCTGGACAATACTTTTATCACTCATCTACAGGCAGCAGTTGAATGCACTGGTCACAAGTTTGCTGAAGGGACTGGGAGTTGCTGTTGATTCTCTTGAGGGATAAGAGGTCTTGCAGAAGGATCTAGATAGCTTGGAGCACTGGGCAGCCATCAAAGGCATGAAATGTAAGCAGCACAAATGCTGGATTCTGCGCCTGGGATGGAGCGATGCTGGACACAAGCACAGCCTGGGAGAGGAGTTCCTGGAGAGCAGCCCTGCAGAAAGGCACCTGGGGGTGCTGGCTGGCAGCAGGTTCAATAGGAGTCAGCAGTGTGCCCTGGCAGACAGGGGGGCAAACCGCATCCTGGGGTGCACGTGACTCTTCACTCAACTCTTGCTCTGATTTTGGCTACCCCAGCTTTTGGTGTTGCCTGAGTGTCGTGGTTTAAGCCATCCCAGACTGCTTGTTACCTCACTCCCCCCCCCTTCTTGCCCTCCCCCTACTCTCGGCGGGACAGAGAGGAGAATCAGAAAGAATGCAGCTCCCCCAGGTTGACATAAGAACAGTTTAGTAACTAAGGTATAACACAAATCACTGCTGCTACCACCAATAATAGCAGTGATAAAGGAAATAACAAGGGAAGAGAATACAACACCTCACCACCAGCCGACTGATAACTCGCCCCCCCCAGCCTGACCAAGCACCGACCGATACCTCACCCAACCCTGCAGTCCACTCAGTCCTTCCGGCTAACTCCCAGTTACATCCAGGGCATGATGTGCTGTGGTATGGAATACCTCTTTGGTCAGTTTGGGTCAGGTGTCCTGTCTCTGCTTCCTCCTGGCTTCCCTCCTCCCTGGCAGAGCATGAGGCTCACAAAGTCCTTGGCCAAACCAAAACATCATTGTTATCAGCTCTGTTCCCAGCTGAAAGTCAAAACACAGCAATGCACCAGCTACCAAGAAGGAGAAAAATGACAGCTACTGCTGAACCCAGGACACTGAGCTATGCTGGGAGCAGTGCCATGAGGTCAAAATGAGGCAGCATTTAGGCAGAACACGTAGCAAGAAAGGGCTGTAGGGGCATTATGCACCCAATATCACCTGGAAATTGCTGTCTCCTACACATCACCTTTTGTCTGGCAGTTCACTCAGAAACCACTACATTGTGGAACAGCATCAGACTAAACCTCCAATCTGGAAGATACAAGGCATCAGCTAACCCTAAAAGGCTTTTGAAGCAGATCCAGAAGCTCCTGGATTGTTGAGGCTTTCATGTTTCCAGGAGTGACACAAGTAACATCCAAACCATGACAGAGCAAGAAGAAATAGCACTCTTACCATTGGCAGGTAATTATATTTTTTGCTCATGAGCCCCACTTTCTTGTTTCTTCTTCATTGTTTGTCATTATCACCTCAGGACAAAGTTGAAATAACAGCAGATATTGACCTGTAAATCTGAGAAACGTAAATGGAGCCTAACACTGGGCACAGGTATAGCTCACCAGCCTCCTGTGTGCCAGATACACCCTCTTGATTTTCTAACACATACAAAGGGATGAGCTCTATTTCATCCATCAGGAAGCACTGCAAGAAACCCACAAACCACAGCCACGAGTGCCACAGGATGACATCAATGATGACACCCCCACCGCTCCAATGCTTTTGTTGCATGTTCTGCCAAATGCCCTGAAATACACCATCAACATCAAGCCTTTGGTCTCTAATACTTGAAAGCTGCCGCCAGGGCCAGAAGGGCACGTCCTCAACAGGAGGACATGAACATCCAGAATTCTTGGAAGGAAAACACAACCACAGCTAATTGCTTGCAAGGATCTGCCATGCCCCAGCTGCTTGCACAAACATGCTGTCATGCACAAAGACTGTCTCAGAGCCCTCGGGCACTCCAGCACCAGCATAAAAGCCGGCCCAGCGCCTCTGTCCCTCACTCGCCTCTGCTGACGCCTTCTCCTGCGCGCTCAACAAGGTGAGCCTCAAGCCCCTTGCCCTCTGCTCCTGCCCCCCTGCCCCGGCTCTTCCAGCACGCTCTGCCCCAGCCTCAGCACCCCTCACGCCTCCCCAGCACCACAGCCCCACAGCCCCACACCAGCCTCCCCACTGCCTCGCCCTCCTGCACCACCGCCCCTCGCACCCCCACGCCCTCCGCTCTCCCCACACCCTCTCTTCCATTCTCTCCTCTCCTCTCCTCTCCCCTGACAGGGCCCCTCCACCCCACACACATGGCCTGCTACGACCTCTGCCGCCCCTGCGGACCCACCCCGCTGGCCAACAGCTGCAACGAGCCCTGTGTCAGGCAGTGCGAGGACTCCCGCGTCGTCATCCAGCCTCCCGCCGTGCTGGTCACCCTGCCAGGACCCATCCTCAGCTCCTTCCCCCAGAGCACCGCCGTCGGATCCTCCTCATCCGCTGCCGTGGGCAACGTCCTCAGCGCCCAGGGAGTGCCCGTCTCCTCTGGGGGCTTCGGCTACGGCCTTGGCTACGGCTTCGGAGGCCTGGGCTGCTACGGCAGAGGAAGGGGATGCGACATCTGCTAAGGGCCATTGACAACACGCCTGAAACCACTCACGTACAGTCTAGAAGCAAAGACGTGGACTGAGGATCCACATCTGGGCTGGTTTTGATGAGTGGACCTGCCCACAACAGCTTCTAATATCAAAGTACCAGGAGAGGAAGCAGGGCTTGGGGCCTGTTTGTACCATAGCTCATGGACCCTCCTCTTTTTCCACTTCTTTCTGTGCATCACTCCTTTGGCAATGTTCGGTACTTTCTGCTGTGAAAAACAACTCAAACAGCAAAAACCATTGAGGAAACTTCATGGATCTGCTCCTTCTGCAAGGCAAGAAGTCCTTGATACTCTGGCATAGTCTTCTGCAAGCACTAGACCTTGACAGATGGTCTCTCTACTTGCACCTCAGACCCTCTCCCCTCCAACTGGTGCTTTTATCTCTTCACTCTTTTACCTCATTAAAGTTCTCCTGCATCCCAGCCTGAGAAGCCTCCTCTTCCTTTCTTTTACCAAAGCTCTTCCAGCTTCACCCATCAGAAGTCAGGTCTCTACAGGCCATTAGGGTTGGTGGAAAAGGGCCACTAGTCATCTCCTAGGATAAAGGCCAGGACACCCAACTACAGTACACAGTGGCAGGTGGAGGCCTTCCAGGACATGACACATGCCCATCCACTGGCTCAAAGAAATGATTTGATGTGATAACACTTCTCTCTGCATACCTTGACTACCAGCACACACTTGACTAACTCAAGTTAGAGTTAGTAGCTAGTGTCCAGCTACAGCAGCTTGTCCTAGGCATGGACAGTTGGGTTTTCAGTAGCTTCCACCTTGGAGACTTCACAACCTCTTCCACTCATTGACCTTCCTTACACTAAAAAAGGATTTCCTTCTTTGCCCATGGAATTTCACCTTTTTTCCCTTCTGCCCAGAACCTTTTTTCCTGCCACTGATTACAAGCCTCTGCTCCCAGCCCTTCAGCCACTTTGCAGTCATCCTCACTGGGCTCTGTCACAACCCAGACTTTCTCTGCTTACTAGGAGCATGTAATGGGAGACAGTGACAAAGGCTTCCTTCAAGAACAGCTCAGCAATAGACACTGCTCTAACCTTGGCCAACACCCAGTGGCTTCTACAGGGAAGACACAGAGGTTGGTCAAGGACAATTTCCACTCCCAAAATCCACACCTAAACCACAGCACATCACCCTGACCTTGCTGGGAATGACACTGCTCTCCAGGAAGGTTTCTTCTGTCACCTTCTGTGGGAATGAGGTCAGGTTCAACAGCCTCTGCTTTCTGGGAATGCACCTCCTGATCTTCTTCAGAATGAGGGGCATGAGCTCCCTGCCAGCCTACTGGAACTGCTCCCAGGCACCATGACTGGCTCCAGGAGCCCCGTGTCTCTCTTCTACTGGGGAGCCCAAAACTCAGCATGGAACTCTAGGTGATGCTTCACCAGGGATCAGTAGAGTGTCCATTCCTCCCCTTGCTGCAATGACCATAGGTATCTCATGCAGGGTGCCCAGTTCAGCACCCTCCTTGCTATGCAGTCCTTCTCTGACTCAAGTGTGGATTCTTCTTGCTTGCCCTGCAGGGCAGGAAGAACTGCATGCAGAAGACTCCTGCTCATGGTCGCACTCCTTGCACCTCAGACTGTCTCACTTCCACCTGGTGCTTTTGGTGCTTTTACGTTTTCATTCTTTTGTCTCAATAAATTCTCCAGCATCCCAGCCTGAGTCTCCTCAGAATCATTTTCAACAGCACAAACCTCTCCAGAGAAGGTGCTTTCATCCCTTTTCATGAACAGGGCAGCTGGAGCTGCATTCGTGGCTCCATGGCCAGTTGGTGTTTCAGTAGCTCCCAGCACAGAGACTCCATCACCTCTTCTACTCTTTGTCTTTCTAAACAGGCAAAAAGGCTTGCCTGTTTTGCCCATGCAATTCCAGGGCCTCTTCTGCACGTGCACACTACTTACAAGTGGTGGATTCCGACCACTTATTTCCCTGCCATCAGGGGTTTATTCACATTGAAGCTGGGCCCCCTCCACATCCTTCTATCTTGGGTGGCTCACTTCTCACCCTCTTCTCTACAAAACATGATCCAGTCCCTCCAGTCTCTTGGTTACCCTGCACTGCTCTTGCTCCTTAAAGTCCAAGTCCTTCCTCACTGGGGAGCCAAGAAATGAATCCCACATGGGATTGTCCTCAGCATTTCTGAGGAGAAAGGGATGGTCCCCTCCCCTTTGTCAGTGCACCACTCCTCAATGTAGCCCTGGAGACTGATGGGCCCATTTCTTAGAATGGTAGGTTGCCACCTCATGGTCCATTTTTTCTCCACTAGGACCACAAGGTCCTTCTCTGATAAGATGGTTTCTAACCCATTGGTCCACCAGATATTCCTGCTACACCGGGTCACTTCTCCCCAGAAACAAGACTTTGCATCTGCCCTGGATGAACTCTTGTCCTTCACAACATCCTCCTGAACAAGTTGGTCAAATGTGACATGAGCAGGTACACCATACATTGCATAAAGAACTGCTGAAGAGCAGCGCTGAAAATGTCACAGTGAATGGGGCTAGATGTGCTTTGTGAATGGTCACCTGCAATATTCCTCAGGGCTCCATTCTAGGGCCATTTCTGGACAATACTTTTATCACACATCTACAGGCAGGAGTTGAATGCACTGTTCACAAGTTTGCTGAAGGGACTGGGAGTTGCTGTTGATTCTCTGGAGGGATAAGAGGTCTTGCAGAAGGATCTAGATAGCTTGGAGCACTGGGCAGCCATCAAAGGCATGAAATGTAAGCAGCACAAATGCTGGATTCTGCGCCTGGGATGGAGCGATGCTGGACACAAGCACAGCCTGGGAGAGGAGTTCCTGGAGAGCAGCCCTGCAGAAAGGCACTTGGGGGTGCTGGCTGGCAGCAGGTTCAATAGGAGTCAGCAGTGTGCCCTGGCAGACAGGGGGGCAAACCGCATCCTGGGGTGCACGTGACTCTTCACTCAACTCTTGCTCTGATTTTGGCTACCCCAGCTTTTGGTGTTGCCTGAGTGTCGTGGTTTAAGCCATCCCAGACTGCTTGTTACCTCACTCCCCCCCCTTCTTGCCCTCCCCCTACTCTCGGCGGGACAGAGAGGAGAATCAGAAAGAATGCAGCTCCCCCAGGTTGACATAAGAACAGTTTAGTAACTAAGGTATAACACAAATCACTGCTGCTACCACCAATAATAGCAGTGATAAAGGAAATAACAAGGGAAGAGAATACAACACCTCACCACCAGCCGACTGATAACTCGCCCCCCCCAGCCTGACCAAGCACCGACCGATACCTCACCCAACCCTGCAGTCCACTCAGTCCTTCCGGCTAACTCCCAGTTACATCCAGGGCATGATGTGCTGTGGTATGGAATACCTCTTTGGTCAGTTTGGGTCAGGTGTCCTGTCTCTGCTTCCTCCTGGCTTCCCTCCTCCCTGGCAGAGCATGAGGCTCACAAAGTCCTTGGCCAAACCAAAACATCATTGTTATCAGCTCTGTTCCCAGCTGAAAGTCAAAACACAGCAATGCACCAGCTACCAAGAAGGAGAAAAATGACAGCTACTGCTGAACCCAGGACACTGAGCTATGCTGGGAGCAGCGCCATGAGGTCAAAATGAGGCAGCATTTAGGCAAAACACATAGCAAGAAAGGGCTGTAGGGGCAATAGGCATCCAATATCACCTGGAAATTGCTGTCTCCTACACATCACCTTTTGTCTGGCAGTTCACTCAGAAACCACTACATTGTGGAACAGCATCAGACCAAACCTCCAATCTGGAAGATACAAGGCATCAGCTAACCCTAAAAGGCTTTTGAAGCAGATCCAGAAGCTCCTGGATTGTTGAGGCTTTCATGTTTCCAGGAGTGACACAAGTAACATCCAAACCATGACAGAGCAAGAAGAAATAGCACTCTTACCATTGGCAGGTAATTATATTTTTTGCTCATGAGCCCCACTTTCTTGTTTCTTCTTCATTGTTTGTCATTATCACCTCAGGACAAAGTTGAAATAACAGCAGATATTGACCTGTAAATCTGAGAAACGTAAATGGAGCCTAACACTGGGCACAGGTATAGCTCACCAGCCTCCTGTGTGCCAGATACACCCTCTTGATTTTCTAACACATACAAAGGGATGAGCTCTATTTCATCCATCAGGAAGCACTGCAAGAAACCCACAAACCACAGCCACGAGTGCCACAGGATGACATCAATGATGACACCCCCACCGCTCCAATGCTTTTGTTGCATGTTCTGCCAAATGCCCTGAAATACACCATCAACATCAAGCCTTTGGTCTCTAATACTTGAAAGCTGCCGCCAGGGCCAGAAGGGCACGTCCTCAACAGGAGGACATGAACATCCAGAATTCTTGGAAGGAAAACACAACCACAGCTAATTGCTTGCAAGGATCTGCCATGCCCCAGCTGCTTGCACAAACATGCTGTCATGCACAAAGACTGTCTCAGAGCCCTCGGGCACTCCAGCACCAGCATAAAAGCCGGCCCAGCGCCTCTGTCCCTCACTCGCCTCTGCTGACGCCTTCTCCTGCGCGCTCAACAAGGTGAGCCTCAAGCCCCTTGCCCTCTGCTCCTGCCCCCCTGCCCCGGCTCTTCCAGCACGCTCTGCCCCAGCCTCAGCACCCCTCACGCCTCCCCAGCACCACAGCCCCACAGCCCCACACCAGCCTCCCCACTGCCTCGCCCTCCTGCACCACCGCCCCTCGCACCCCCACGCCCTCCGCTCTCCCCACACCCTCTCTTCCATTCTCTCCTCTCCTCTCCTCTCCCCTGCCAGGGCCCCTCCACCCCACACACATGGCCTGCTACGACCTCTGCCGCCCCTGCGGACCCACCCCGCTGGCCAACAGCTGCAACGAGCCCTGTGTCAGGCAGTGCGAGGACTCCCGCGTCGTCATCCAGCCTCCCGCCGTGCTGGTCACCCTGCCAGGACCCATCCTCAGCTCCTTCCCCCAGAGCACCGCCGTCGGATCCTCCTCATCCGCTGCCGTGGGCAA